TCCAAATATGTAAAAAAAAATATATGTTTATTCAGAGAAAGTACGTTTTTGTGTCTGATTTCGTAACTTAATTAATAGTTAGCACTAATTAATTAGCATATTTGAGGTCACCCCCAGGAACCATTAAGATTGACACTTAGTTCGTGAAAATCCGATTATTAGAACGAAAGTTATTCAGGGTGATATCTTTTTTTTTTTTGCTGACTGTACAACATAAGCAAACTAATTATGACTCGAAGTTGCCAGGTATATATTTTATCATCAGGTACAGGAAGAGAACGTATTTTGTTTGTACTTTATTTCTTAGAGGAAATAAAAGAGCATTAAACATTTAACAAAATTTAAAATATCTGATAATTTCTTAGAATTTCCCAAATTATTTTTTCGCTGTCGTGAAATTCAAGAAAAGGTGAAGAGAACAAATTCGTAAAAAAAATGTTACAACAAACTAGCTCTCGTAAACATAAGTAAATATTTCTTAAAATCTGATCATGTTTAAAATGAGCCATTTTTTTAAATTCAAAACCATTTTGAACCTGGGTGTAAATTAAGTTCCCTATCCTAGCTCGCCTCCCGAAAGTAATGATGCAGTGACTACATCTCCAGATTAGTTTGTAGTAATTACATGTAGAAAAGGTAGTTGTAGCTTTAGTTAGAAAAAAGTTGTTAAGGGTAGTTGTAGCTTTAGTTAAAAAAAAGTTGTTAAGGGTAGTTGTAGCTGTAGTTAACTACATTTGTAGTAAGGTACTACATTTGTAATAAGTTAACTACAAAAATAATGTAGTTTTTCCAACTAATGATCTACATTCTAGATAGAAACAAGTTTATCCAGTGGCGTAAGTAATACCCCCGCGGAGTGGGAGGGGGAATGATCCAGAAGTAATATGCTTATAGGGGTGCACAACCTGTAGCCCGCGGTAGCACCCGAACATGAAACAAAAGAAATATTTATATTTTTTTGCTGATCAAAAAAATCAGAAATTCTGAATCGCGCATTTAAGTTTTTGAACGCCCCAAATCTAAATCAATGTAATCTTTTGATCGTTTTTTACGGTGGTTATCACTACAAATTTCTAAAGTTTTAAAAATCCCAACAATTTTGACATCTCGACAATCCCGAATGTCTCATCATAGTGTTGTTGTCTCGTATTATAATTTTACGAATATTGTGCTAAGTCTAAGATAGGGATCATTTTTTATTCTTGCAGAGGGGGCGCACCTAAGTCTATGTACGCCACTGATTTTATCGTTATGAGGTCGTTCGGCAAACACTTTTTCATTTCACTAATAACGTTCGCCGTGGTATCCGCAAAATCACAGATGACAATAATGAATTGTCATATTTTAATAAAGAATCAATATTAATACCTTCCATAGTGAATTTGTAAAAGTGAAAGAAATTAAAATGATTTTCTAAACAATTTTTCAAAAGTGACTATTTAATCTATATACTATTTTAATTGAAAACACAAACTACTTTAATAGTGCCATTTATTCAATGAATATGAATAGTTAGTGCTATAGAGCTAAATGAAAACGTTTACTGGGTAGTTAAATATGTAGAGTAATGGGAAACAGAGAGGAATAGGCGATTTTTTTTTTTAAAGAAATGCGAGAAAATCGCCAAAAATATTCCTTCATGTGCTGACGAGAAAAAAATTGATTGGATACGAAGCAGTTTTTCTTTCGTCCATTAAACTTTATGAATGTTATTTTTGTGCAAGAAAAAATAAATGATGCTATAGTCTATGATTTGATATTTTTTCACTTAATTTAACAGAAATAATCTTCTAAAAATAAATTAAATATTAAAGGAATACACTTTAGGCAAAATTGTTTCATTTGAAAGTGAAATTATCCAACCATAAAATTTCTAAAAATTTACAGATTATTTCTTGCTCCAGCAAACATATTTCTGTTTTCTCTTTATGTACTCAGTCTTATTAAGTGTAGATATCACGCAGGTTTCTTCTATACTAATTAAAAATCAACTTTTTTAAAGTTTATAACTCGTTATTTCTAACTCTAAATATTTAATGAATTGTAACTGTTCCTACATTATCAAGCTACTCGATGTACATAATTTAAAAGTATTCTATGAATATAAATATGTGCTGATAAATAATATCGATTTTTGAATGAATAATATCTATAAGGGAATGATAAACTACGTTTTAAATATATAATTTATTGATAAATTAATTGCTACAGTTCTAGATGATAGATATCTCTAAAGGACAATGAATAGATACTGCAACAACAAAACAAAAATGTACACAAAAATATACATAAGCTTTATAATTATTTACTTATGCACAAAGTTCAGAATCAGGCAAAAAAAAAGAAAAGAAAACATTACAATAATGGGTTTATAAGAAGAGAGTCCAGCCCCCTACAAAATATAAGAATTTCCATTTTTCAAACTATTTCCATTTAGCTGACATTAAAATAACAGTATTTTATCTCACAAGTCATATGTTTCTATGGTATTCGATCAGTAAATTTTATCCTGACTATCTATGACTGCCATGACTATTCACAACAGGGTTATTGTTCATCAAACTCGGAGGATTCATTTCGGGAATTTTCCCGCTAGCTCTCATAAAGTCTATCAACGCCTGCTGCCCCAACCATGTCACAAGCCGGTCATGTCGAACTCTCGTATCATGATCTGTGGGATCATCATCGTCGGTACAAACATAACACTGGCAGGCTTCCTGCGCAGCAACAATACAGCACGCTACTGCCAGTGCGCAATCTGCGATGGCAGAAGTCAGGGTGACTGCCGCAACAGCCAATAATGGTGCTCTGGTTGCAATATCTCCAGCGAACAATACTCTCCTGCCGTCGCTGTCAACGTAATATCCAGCTGGCCATTGAGCGTCATGGGCAAGTCCTGTAGCTACAAATACAGTTGCCAAGCCACCGGTCAATACACTCGTTACTGACAGACACAGAAACATGACAGCGTGGACGGCTTTCTTTGAACACTTGGATAGGCATATTGCAGATGTGCCGGTAGCGACAGCCACGCCCCCTGCCCAGAGGCCTCCAGCTAGGGATGACATGGCTGCGTCCATGTTCATTGACAATAGTCCAAATACTCCGAGCATCACACCGCAGAATATTTCTGCGACACCCAACCCGAATGTCAGTTTTCTTCGGAAAGATTCGTTCTCTTCATTCTCTTCAGCCAATGTCAAGGAAGATGGGAAGAGATCCTCCTGCAGAGAATTCCTTGTCTCAGGCATTTTGAAGGTGTTGCAGCTATTCTCAGTTATCCATCCATACTCACTGAAAGTCATTAAAATTAATATCAGTTGAAAAGTAACCAAAATTAAAGTGTCAGAAGAAATAGACAATGTAGTTATTTGATGATATTAAAAAGGATTTATTTTTTTCTAATAAAAGAGACGTTCACATTGGCTTCACCAGATGGACAATAATCTTGATCATTATTTTTCAATTCGTTACCAAGAATATTGTCTAGCAATCACGAGATTTGGCCGGCGAAGCCTTTTGTGGCCCACGAACTAAAATATATTAGTTGTCATTTTTTGCGGACAATTTTCGTAAAAAATCTATATGGGTTTAAAATACTTTTGTCGTTAATAAAAACCTAATTTCTTCCGTTTCTGTGAAGTTTATTATACCAACGGTGCAAAAAAAATTATTTCGCAGATGTTGCATGCAAGAAAATTTTTATTCAAATACAAAAATAATCGTGTATGTTGCTCTTTTTTATTTCATTTTTTTGTATTTTGGAGTTTCATTCAGCATGTGTGTATCAGAAATTTTCTCGAAGAAATTCTCCGATTTAACTTTTGGTAACCACTCATTTTGGGTGAAAATATTTACGCACACATTTGTAAATTTTAAATTTGAAATGTAAATATCAATTCTCTGGTGGTTGCAGCAGACAAACCTCAATTTTGTCATTGAACATTTTGTGTGCTACTATGAAAATTTTAAAACCAACCTTTTTAAAGTTTTATATTTTAACAATTAGATATCTGTTGCACATTAATTGTTTAATACATGGGTGCACATTAAAGTTATTGTAGCCCGGATTTTTTAATATGCAAATAAATATTTTTAAAAATCTACTTCTTATTTTAATTTGTAATTCAATACTTTTGTTTTGTACAGGTTGGTAAAAATCTGACAGTAATATTTAATGTTCCTTCAAACATAAAATAGTCCTACATAAAATTTTGATAAAGTTGCGGCCCGCCAATTGATTTGCGTTTTTAACTCTGTCCCCCGGCCTCATGTAAGTTGGAAACCCCTGTCTTAGAACATACGATTATCGTTTGTTGTTACTTTGGTTTAAGATCGTTTTTACTTTCGTTGTACATAGTTGTTACTCTGAAGGTAACGTGGTTGTAGCTTTGATTGTTACATTGATGGTTTATCAAAGCGACAACGATGTATTTGGTATATAATTTTTTATCGTTAGCGAAAATGGTGTTGTTTTTATAGCATTTTTTGGCTTAGAAGGAAATGGTAGATGAGATTTTACAATAGTACCGAGTATTGATAAATTGAGTGGAGGGCAACTGTTCTAGTTCATCTTTATATGTTTCTAATCCTTAAATGAATTTAATAAATCTCCACTCATAAGTTATAGGCAATTTCTAGTAGCTCTTAAGTTAGTTACTCTGAAATTATAGTTGACTGGGCAGTTAAAATAATTGACTACCCACTAAAATAGGAAGAACTAGTGATAGAAAAAAAACTCCTTGTTTACCGGATTGTCATAACTTCCATTAATAAAATTGAAGTATTATAATCGAAGTTAAATAAATGTAAATAAAATTTATTACATCTAAATAAAGTTTAGTAGAACAAATTTGCCCGTGTGTCATAATTAATAGGGGGGGGGAGTGAAAAGTTTCATTTTATTTTCTATCTGTGCTATGTTCTTCCCTAAGTCATTTTCGTAAATAAAAATTAAAGAAGATACTTTGGGTATTTCTGAATTATGACTTACAGAACATTTTATAAAAATATTCAATTACAAAGATTTTAGCATGGCAATAATGTTAACCCTGTCAACGTTGAAGCAAAACAGTTTATATATGTGGTATTTAACATTTAATAGCTAGTATATAATTAGGTTCAGTTTTTGTAATTATTTAAATAACTATGGTTTGAAGGAGTAATTGTTCTAACAAAGCAATTTTTAATTCTGAATAGGTTGAATTTATTTTATTACGATATGTATAAGCCGAAACTTTGAAAAAGAAACTGCGTATCAGCTTTATTTACTTACGCACCAACTAAAGAAATGTAAATTGTATAGTGATAATATATCAATTGTTTCTAAAGGTGGTTGTACAAAAGAGTTAGAGTGTATGGTATTTGTTAAATATTTTTTTTCTATAATGTGTGTGTTTTATTTGAACAATAAAGACTATAAAATAGTATTTTAATCTATAGTTTAAACGTCTTTTTAATTCACATAGTGTACGTCAATTTCGCTCAGCAAATTTTTACCAAATTTGCCATTTTACTCTCATATAAAAAGTTTACTTTATTTTCATATAAAAAGTTTGGTTGTTAAAGTATGTATGGATAATGTTCAAAAATATAGACATATGTCTCTATATAGCTTTGAAACATAATGGTCTAAAACTGTAAAAATTTGTAGTAAAAGTTTGCTTTTACTCTAAACTTTTTTTTTTCTTTTTTTTTTTAACTTTTACTTATATGAGAGTAAAAGTTTACTTTTACTCTCATATAAAATGTTCAATAGCAAAAGTACATATAATGTCCAAAAATATAGACATATGTCTCTATATAGATCTCAAACATAATGGTCTAAAACTGTAACAAAAATGTTTTGTTAAAAATTTAGAGTAAAAGTTTATTTTTACTCTCATATAAAAGGTTTAATAATAAAAGTATATATAATGTCCAAAAATATAGACATATGTCCCTATATAGATTTGAAACATAATGGTCTAAAACTGAAACAAAAATGTTTTGTTGAAAATTTAGAGTAAAAGTTTATTTTTATGCTCTTATATAAAATTTTTTATATTAAAAGTATATATAATGTTTAAAAATATAGATATATATCACTACATAGCTTTGAAATATAATGGTCTAAAACTGTTTCACCTTAATGAACAAAGAAGATCTAGATTTCCTTGGTTATCACTAGCATAAACTAAATATAAATTATAAAGGTATTTTTAACTTGTAAAATATTTTTAATCCCTTTTTAAACGGTATTTATCAGCAATGTTTATTTATTCTTCTTTGTTATTATTCTCTGCTATTATAACATTTTGGATTTTAGTAATTATTAATTCATATAGAATTCTTAAAATGAAAGGAGAATATTGAGTAGAATTTTCGGAACAATTTAAGTAAATAATACTCAGTGGAGAGTAAAAAACAAGAATGAACTTCTTCGATCAGTTAATCAGACGAAAAAGCATAATTCGATTTATTAAATCCTGATGTTTGGCATGGCTGGGGCACATTGGAAGATTAAATGAAAATAGAAATCTAAGAAAATTTTAAATTGGAAACCTTTAAACCCGGGACCAAGAGGATAGCCGAAAAAGTGATGGTTGGACAATATCACAAAAATTTAACCAACTTCAAGGTGAGAAACTGAAAGTCGAACGCCAAAAATAGGAACGTCCTGAACGATACTGTTCGGCAGACTCAAAGCAGGCTGTAGTGTCGCATAAGTATGTAAGTTAGTGAAGGTTTAAAACCAAAATGGTGTTTCTTTGTTATTAAGTAATCCAAACTTACTTTATTTCACAACATTTTAAGATAAACATGTATAAAAATGTATCGAACCTATTACTCGCTTTATAATTATTAAACAGTAATTAAATTACAGTTACTTACTTGAAAACTATATAGAAAACAGTGTTCAGTCTAGTCAACCGATGCAATTAAAATTACGAATGTAAAATTGCAAAACATTATTATTTTTGCTAAAATTATTATGGTAACCAAAAATTAAATAGGAAAAAAAGTTGCATGCGAAATTGCAATTGTTAACCGAGCAAAACAGTTAGGTTTAAATTGTACCCAAATAAAAATGGGAACTGAATCTGTGAAATAAAATCTGGATTAATACAATAACAATAGCCAAGTTTCACTCGTCATGATTTTAACTGGTTCATTAAGAACCAAAAGATTACGTATTAATCTTGGGGCTTGATGTTCAAGAGTGAGCAGGGTGACAGAGACACAAAATTACATGAACGTTTCGAAAATTTTACAAAAATCATTAATTTTGTACTTGTTTATGAAGTCACGTATGATAAATCATCTAAATAATCATTCTTCTAATTTTAAATTAAAACAACAATAAATTTTGTTGTTATGAGAAAACATCACTAAATTATTTATTGAAAGATAAACCAAAAAATAAATCAAATGATTTTAATATTTTATTTGTTAATTGTCAAAAGTGTTATGAGTTGTTATTCGCTTGAATTTCTCCATTGTTCCTGACTTAAATTCATCACTATGTTCCTGAAATTAGAATGAAAAAAAACGAAAGTTTGCTTTCTTTTCCCACTTTTTTTAAAAAAAATTTAAAACCGTATTTATTATTTTACGTGTCAAATTGTAAAAATAATTATATGGATAATAATTGGTATGGGTTAGACTCTCCTTGCAGTCAGGCTAACCGTGTGAGGTTTTCCTCTCCATGTAACGAGAAAGCGGGTTAGTTCTATCAAAACGTCCTCCAAGAAGGCAAATTTCTCCCAATACTTGATCCACGAGTTCCCTTGTCTTCTGGATTAGGTTAAAACTTACGAGGTTACGGTGTTGAACATTAGTAGTCATAAACCCAAAATTGGGTCGGCTGTTCAACGACGGTCATGAAATATATAGATTAACAAAATTTTGATAATTCGAACATAGAGAAATTTCTACATAAGTTATTTTGCATGAAAATTACTTTCTCGTTATGTAGACATAAAATTGTAATACGTTCTGATAAAATAAACATTCAAGACAACAATGAATTAATATTTGCTTTTGTAAACTTGAAAAAAAGAGGAATAAACTTTTAAAACTGTGGAAAAATTTTAATTTTTAGAAAACAATTTTCATTGTAGGTAATTATCTACAGGAAATGGATATTTACATTTTTTGTTAAATTATAATACAATAATCCCTTAAATTAATTCAATAATCCCTAAAAATCACTGATTTTTTTTTCTTTTAAAGAAATTGGATTTATTTTCTGAGTGGTAGCTAATGCGATCAAAGGATTTCTGAGAAATGTAATACAAGGAGGATAAAACAGA